GACCTCTTAAGTCGTTTCCATTCGTTTACTGCCATGTGTTCTTTCGGTTGTACTTGGAATACTTATAACGAACCAATGGCAAGTCATTCTTGCGCTTGCATTGTAGCGCGTGCGAACACCGCTACGATTTCGTTTCCATTGCAAGGCAAGCTCCCTAAAGTACCTGACGAGGACATGAACCCCTTTTCTGCATCGTCCACAGCCAAGGAAGGCGGAATGAAGCAGCACGAAACCATGGCCGTCATCCTGCCACCTGCTCTTGCCTTAAATCTTTGGTTGCCAGGGGCTGCTGGTGAGTGTCGTGTGCAGTTCAAGCTCGTTATATGCCTCGACTTGTTTCAAAAGATTCGTTGGACATGAGCCACACTCTCCTTCCCTGTGCCTGTCATGTTCTCCAAGGAGAAGACAACAGAGGTCTTGCATTTCACACCCGGGGGTACCGAGACTGGCTCGGATCGCAGCAGCAGAAACCGTGTGAAGTTGTTGTCATCGTCTTCAATTCCTCGGATGCAAACTTGTCGAGGATTCATAGCACATGCCAGCACCCGACCTGCTCTTGCTGTGGACTTCTGCATTCTGGCAACATGGTCTCCCTCGGCTGTTATGCAAAACAACGTCTCAGCATCTCGCCGAACACGCTGAACCCGAAAAGCAGAACTCGAAACCCACCAATTAACAATTACACGTGGTATCACGTGGTTCTTTTGATGTTGGGAGCAAGACCCTGAGAAACTTTGATCCCCCAGTGCACGCTCAGGCTCCCTTGTCCAGTACTTCGAGGCCGTATTGCTCTGCTGCCAGTTCGCTACAGATGGCGGCCACTCCCTCCAACTTGCCTCAACAGTTGATTGAATAGGCCGCACAGTGCTCCACAAGCTCTACGACCCAGGGTTTAGACTACCCGATGGCCGTCTGGCTTCGGATCTACAGGCTCTAGTTACAGCCTCTAGGCGTGGCCCCACCTTCAGCGATAAGCTTTGCGCTGCCAGCAGTGTCATATGCTGCCTCTGCCACAATTCCTGAGGAGAAATCATTCCGAGGAGCGGCCGTGCAAAAGCAGCTCGACAGCTCCAGCCTTGCTTCTTCAAGTAGGAGCTGCACTGGGCCAAGGCCTGCGGATGGCTGATTGCCTTTGCCAAGCTTTCCTGGCAAAACATGCGTTGGTTGGGCCCTGCGCACTAGTTCAATAGTTGCGCCAGGCGGATGCCCCTCCTTCTTGGTGCCAGGCAGAGCCAGGAGCGCGTGCCGGACTCGTAAGCTGTGTTCGGCCTCGGTACGGCCAGGGCGCAACGGAAGCGACGGCTCTCGCAATCTTTCACCTCAGGAGCAAGCGATGATGAACAAGTTGTGTTGAAGCTGCAGGTCGCAGTTGGCATGTATGGTGCCACCGAGGGTATTCTCAATGGGAACCATGAGAAGATTAATCTTCCCAGTGCTGACCGCCTGACCATGTCCAGCTGAATCCACCCAAGAAGCCGAAAAGAAAATACGCTTCGGTCTCCATCAAGCATTGGCTTCCGTATCTTTTGCAGTGAAGACTCACTGAACGCATCGTCGAAGGAAGGATAGCCCGTACACTGAATTCCTGTCAGTGCACACG